GTAATAAAGCATTATTTTTGCCATATAAAATAAACAATCTAATATGAAATCACACTGCGATCGGACCTCTTGGTCCCCGTAGTCAAATAGTGCCTTAAGGTCGAGAAATCACGCCGGTGTTAGGTATCGGCAAGTGTTGCAGAACATAGAGGAAGGTGAATATTTGGTTGATGAACTCAAAGGCGAGTCTAAAATGTTCTTGGTTCTTTCGAGTTTCGCCATTCCCAAACTCCACTCAGAAGTGATGATTATGGGGACTGGAATCGTAGCCACTATGTACTTTCAACTGATTTCCCTGTGGTTATCACAAGAGGACTTCTCGTCTTTCTCGGAGACTGGAGCGGTCAGATAGATGGAATCGACGTTGAACCTCGAACACAAGTGCATCGGTTGAAATTGCTATACTTTACAGTAGTATACAAAGAATAGGTGGATAGAAAAAGAGTGATATCAAAGTAGACAAAGTTGAGGTAGGGAATAAGCAGTTTGAAGTTAAATGTTAGTGCGAAAATTCAAGCTTTAGATGACTTCTAAGAGTGAATATACCTGCGCTACTGCAATCGATTTTCAGCCATGTCACTTAGATTTGTCAACCATCGAATCCTAACGTCTCGGTGACCCCAGCCAAGTAGTCTACATCTGTGAACGGGACGCAGACCAACAGTTATAGACTTCATTAACTGGTGCTGTGTTATGGTGTAGTCACGCTGAAACCTCTTTGGGCCTTATTCAACCCCCGTCAGCATGTCACATCGAGGTAGGCTGTGACTCAGCATACACAATACATGTCCAAGCCGTCTCAGTCGATGAAGGTTCAAAACTTCATCCACCGACTCACCTATCTTATTTAGTACCCTTCGCGCGACTTCAACATTGTGCGCACGTTGATTCCACCAGACACGAGCAATGCTACGAAGACACTTATGACGAAAACACTGTAACCGCTTCATGTTTTCTACTTTTAATGGCCATGTGTCACAGCTGTATAACAGGACAGGACGGACTGCAGCATAGTATACTGGTTCTTTGCAAGATAGTTGGATGTCTTGCCAGTAGACGCCAGTGATGATGCAAGTTGGCAAATGCCGAACAGACCTTCTGTATTCGAGGTGAGATTTCGTTAGCAACCGACCCTTAAGGGGTTGATGCAACTCTCTAAGTAAGTGAAATGGTCGACACATTTCACCACTTCACTCCACATGATTGAACCGAGGGTGGTTACAGACCAGTCCTGGGGAATCATTTTACATTTGCAGGTGCCAGCGAAACACATGCCAGACATACTCATGTTTCTGCCCAAAGCCTTAAAAAAAGACCCTGCATTTTGTCAGGGTGTTCACATGGCGGAACAATGTCGTCTATATACTCCGAATCCACCACATGACCTTCAGTGAGTAGGTCAATCGTTGTGAAGTCATACGTTCCTAGGGTTACTTACCTTAGTCCGTCTATATGAGAAAGTTAAGTAGGAACGGTGGGAGTGGGCATCCCTGGCGAACAGCACTCGTTGTTGTCGATTCTGATAACAACTCTCGATTAGCATTTAGAAGGCTGTTGGAGTTCGACTAGAGATATTTGTTTAGCGTTATATAATTGCTCGGTACTCCTTTCACACTGCCACAAGATCTGATGGTCGACAGAGTCAAATGTCACTTTCAAGTCAAGAAATAAGGCAAGAGTCAGCTGGCGATAAATGTGCCTGTCTTCCACAGTCTGTCGGTGGTGAACATATGGTCGATGCACCCTCGTATAGGTCTGAAACCTACCTAGTTTTCTCGACTTTGCTGTTCTCGAGCTCCAGTTAGGCGTCGTATAACTACGGACCCTAGGATCTTTGACAGAATATTATTGAGACTAATTCTCTGACTGCTGTTACAGGAAGAATTTTCTCCTTTCTTATAAACTGGGATGATCAGAGGATTACATCAGTCTGACGGGACTACCTCTTGTTTTCATACACCAGCTAAAACCTTTGTAATTTATTCAGTGATTTTGTGGTTCAAACCTTGGAAACACCAGGCGGTAGCTATTGGTCAGGCTTCTCATCTGATAAGTTTAGATGATTGCTTACAAATGTTGCCATCAATGGTCTTTTTTTGTTTGGCTGACTTGTTCCTTGAGCGTTTCCGTTTTTCTGGAGAATCAGATTTTAGGATATGCAGGTAGCTCTCCCAGGATGGAAGGAATTTTGTGAAATTTTCATCAGAGCACTTCCGTTACGAAGTGGTCAGTTTTATTCTTATCTTGTTTCTGACTGAAGTCACATGGTGATATGCTACAGATTCTCGATGGGGAGTCTGTCAAGAGGCCATGTTACTTATTTAAGTAAAGAGAGGTTATTCTGTGTACCCAATTTCTCTCGGTTGTGTTTTGGGAGTGTGGTGATCTGTTATCTGAAGTAGGAGTAACGGGAGGTTTCTTCTATCACATTTCCTATATAAATTTGTTATGTGTTTATTGTTGAAAGTGATTCTGTTTAGCTTTAAATTCTCAGAAGTTCATTTGGCCTTGGGGCTCACATCATGACATTGCAGTTCACGCTACGGTGATAGATGCTTTTTGTGTTACTACTTCTAAGCTAAACTTTCTGGTATGTTATACCGTCGATGGAGTAGGTAATCTGCCATCATAGCTCGTTGGATGATTGTGGTGTGCTTGCCTATGCACTACTTCAAGGCAGCTGCTATTGGTCTGTTTGAGTGAGCATACATCATAGCAATGTCCAGTTGGTGAACGACCCCTTCTATTTTAAAGGAACCAACAACCGACAAATTGAGGATGACTTTGGTTTGCAATCAGTGATTCGTATATGCTGTGTGTTGTACGATTGTGGCTCCAGCTACTTGCGTTTTGATTGGTTTGGGTCAGTATCTTTACAACTGGCAACTGCATCGAGCATCAGATATGTAGTACAAAACAGGACGAAATATAAAATATGGTTTCTCTACTTTATGGAAAAACACCTTTCCTTTTTAAATAAAAAATCCGCTAGTTTATTTGAGTTTTTTCCTTATAGCTAGCTTAAGCACTGATGTGTGATTATGACTTTTATGCCTTTTATTGTGTCATTATAGCTGCACTTACTCATGCTTTTCTAAAGCTTATGAATCATCGACGGGATTAGACGCAGTAGTTGACAGCCTCTTTGGCAGCAGATGAATGGCATGTCCTTAGGATATGGCAAATCACAAAAGTATAACAAAGCCGTTTAGTTTAAGAATGAATGAAATAATTCACAGTAAATTGGAGATTATTTGTCAACTGTGGACTATGAAACAATATTTGACCAGTTGGAAGAAAGCTTGTCGAAATGGTTACATGATAATATTTTAACTTATGCATAAAACATCTCTCTCTTTTGGTTAGTTGTGCTTTAACAAAGCTGATTTCTCGTTACAGAAGTCAGTTAGTTTCGAAGACTGGATATTTCACCTTCAACTAGTTGGTCGCTGAAGAAGCGGTTATCTCTTTTTAATGGTTTATGTTTTGGTGGATTAACGTGTTAGTGATCACACCATCGTCATTACTTCCACAAGTTGTCGTACAATGTACTTATAATTTGGATGTTTGCAACTCTGCTAACGCTACACTGACCACGAGTGACGGAAAACGCGTACTATTGTATGTTATTTAAAGAGATTGGATGTCGAACGTACCCATTATGTTGTATACTCGTGCAACTTAGTCTGCACTCAGTTGTAATAATTTAAATAAATACTGGAAACAGGCAAATAAAGTTATGGAACAAGTTGTTCGTATAGTACCTGTAACCAGTAGTCACTTTATAGACATCACTGTATATGCAATGAAAGACAAAGCGATAGAGATTATCAACATAGGTCCTAGTGTAGGTAGCTATACCGTTTTATGTAGTAATTTCTGCATTACGATAGTTTAGTATTTGTTGAGTATCAATATTTTGTCGTTGATCTGTCATCACAAGACTTAGTGATATGATCAGCACTAGCGTGGCGTAAAATAGGTTATCTTACTTGTTACAGCCTCATTATCCTCCTTCGGGAAACTGATTCAGTTTCCGTATTTTGAACTCAACTGTTCTTTTTATATGAGTAACTGGATTATTGGTTCTCTTTTCCTAAAAGACTCTATTATGTTGGTTTGACTTAGATATTCGACTTCGATACAAATAAGTTTACTGTGTTTTTATCTACTTGTTCAATGTAGGATGCTTTATAATATATGTAAGGGGGTTCAACATACAAGCTATCTTAGTTTGTTCGCCACATCACTTTCTGTAGACATTGAGTATGCTTAAGCCTAATATTTTACGCTCAACATTTCCCTTTTTAATAGTGTATAGAATAAAAGAAGTCAGGAGAAAAATTTATCACATTAATTCGTAATGTGTAGAATATTTCATCATATCATACTTCATTTCACCGTTCGTATATTTGTGTTTACCTTTAAAAAATTGTTTTATGTCATACCGTTGATCAGATAAATTTTGACTTGACTAGGAAATGTGATTGCAGCAATAATGTCTCCACGAAACTTGAAGGCAAATGAAAATAATATTGTTGAAACCATCTTGAATAATGACACTACTTTCTTTGATTAGTTGATAGTAGGAAACACGTCTACAATGCATAGAATCACTACATTGTCAACTGTATGTTGAAGTAATGAGTATATGGAAGTGATCAGTGAGTGGTTGGGACTTTCTTTCAAGCGCATATCCATAAGAGATTTGACTTTTCATGGACACAATGATTTTTATTGATTCTTGTTAAACTTTCTATGGGTATTGAATGGCTATTTTAGGTGATCACTTGTCTATAATTCCTCTTCTAATTACCAGTTTTTTTGACTTGTTTTGTTTCCGGTGACTATAGGTTTACAACTTAGTGATTTGTAATGGTTTTCTTAAGAAGGTCACTCCTTGAATGCTGCCCTACCTAGAAATAAAATTAAATAAGTACATGAAATCAGTATATGAGTAAACAACAATTTTTGTTATTGATTTACGTTAATCTTTACAGATCGTAATTATAGTTATCGTATGCGTATTCGTCAGTTTCTTCCTGCACTCAAAGTTGATTCCATTGCCAAGATCTAACACTCTTATTTATAATTCGTCGATTCCTAGCAATGTTACAGCTTTCGCTCAATTTACTGGTTTAAATGGAGGTATATTAAAAGAAAATATTCTCCGTAAGTTTTATTTCTATGTAAAAACTCATCATTTTGACTGAGTTTGCGAAGTTTGTGAATAGTATTTTCTCTGTAACAGGATCTTTTTACATATTCACTATATTAACATCTTGCATGGATTAAGAATCATAATTTCTGTAACTTATCTGTGTTAAACATTTAAAACCCATTGCCATGAAATTCACTGCATAAAGTATCTGTGCACGTAGAGTCATTTTAAAATCTTTTATGTCAACATTTTACGTCTCTAACTGTGATAAACTTTTACAGTCTATTGGACCAGTTCACTGTTTTGGACTTCGCAGCTTTGTTATACTTTCTTTTCTTGGTGTAACCGGCCACTCACCAATATCACTGGTTCGATCTGTTTTTCACTGACTGAATAAGAATTGGTCTTCTACGATATACGCAACCGCGACTATCAACCACTCGCAGACCTGTTTCAGAACTCGAGTAACATAGGCATCACTATCAACGTAAGACCAGACATTACTGCGTTACAGTCCAAGTTGCCAAACTTCATATCAGCACATCAAACAACAAAAAAAACATGATGGAAAATGAAGAAGGAAAGAAGAATTGGTCGAAAGCAGTAGAAAATAGTGAAAGAGAAAGGAGGGATAAGAAAGTGTTGAGTTTAGTGTGGTGGTCTAGATGAAGATAACGTGCGGGTACATCTGCGCCACTAACGTTGATTCTGAACGATATCACCTAGAGTCTTCAACCACTGGCTTCTGTTATCACATAGACTCGATTCAAAAGTGTACAGTTCCCTACACAACTTAGACCAACAGTTCATGTTTTCGTTTATCCACCCTGAGCATTTTTCCACTCTGAATTAGTTTCAGCTGATATGTAATGTACTAGAAGGCAGACGATGAATAGGCATGCGTAATGCAGTGTCCCAGCCCCACCTCAGTCGATGAAGGCTCACAACGTGATGAAGTGATTTTTCTCTCCCTGAAACTTCTCGCCTGATGTCTATGGGACTCATGTGTTGATACTACGACTGAGGGTCTAAGCTACTAAGGGAATGGTGGTGAAAGGCCTGAAGCCTTCTCGTGTCTTCTACCTTGAATGGCCATGTTTCACAGCCATAAAGTAGAGCGAAGCGGAGTGCAGCACGGTACTCTGGACCGTTAATAAACAATGGGATATCGCGGTGGCGCTACAGATGTCGTGAGTTGGCAAAATCCAACCGATCCTTGTGTGTCTGTGCAGAGGTTTCGTCGGGCACTGATCTGACTTCCCCGGTAAGTGAAGTGTTCAAGGCACTCGACCATTTTATTACTTGGTATTGTTAGCTTGGACACTACTGTAGACCAGTTGTTGAGCAGCAACTTGTTTTTGGGTATCGAGAAACTCATCGCAGTCATTCTGGAATTGGTTCACAAAGTTTGGAGAAGACTGTGGATCTTGTTAATATCTTTACGTGAGATGGGTATGTCATTTGCGTACTCTAGATTTACTGAGGATTCTGTTGTGAAGTGACCAATCCGTGTGAAGTTATATGACGAGAGGGAGACCTGCATACGTATGTTTGTGATAAAGTTGAATAATAATGGAGTGAGTGAAGATATTTGATGGACACCACTCTGCTTAGGGACACCTTACTGGATGACTCACTGTGGACTCTAGCAGTTGCACGTGTGCTCGATTAAAGAGCCTTCAGTATAGTGATGGGCTTATTTGGCATCCATTCAGTGAAGGACACTATTGTGAGACCTCTTGATCGACACAATCTGCTGTTTCCTTCACGTCGAGAAATTTCGCTGGTATCGGGCATAAGTAGGTGTCTCCGTGTTGCAGAACCTGGTGTAGAGTGAATATTTGATTGTTCAACCCACAGCCAAGTGTGGAACCCGCCAAGTTTTTTCGGGTTTCGCTGTTCATGGGGACCACTCAGTCGTCTTATAATCATAGAACGTAGAGTCTTAGACACTATATTCAAAAGGCTGAGTCCTCTGTGTTTATTGCAGGAGGATTTCTCGCTTTTCTTCTAGACTTAATGGCTATTCCTCAATATCCCGCAAGTGTATGTTAGGCGTTAGATGCTAAGGTCGAAAGCACTGTGCTTGGCTAAATATCAGTTGACACTTATCTGTGGACTGTTCCACAGATAGATGGTAGCTGACGCCTTGGCGTGGTGGTTGGGCTTGTATTTTTTACGGACTACACTAGCTGGAATGCTTGTTGCCTCGAGATCCTACTATGGTAAAATAGGTCTGTTCGATGGCTGTAAAACAAAGAGCAGCTAGCGTTGTAGTGTAAATTGCTACACAATGATGAGGGGTGTGGAAAGCTGGCCCCACTCACTCCCCCCTGCCCCACGGTCTTCCAATGCCGGTGGCATTTGCTTTTTCCATAGGGTGTTATAACAGCCGAGTCTCAAAACATCAATCTCCAGAAAGCTGTATGCGGCAGACATCAAGCAAATTTCTTATGTACTCTGATGTCACAAATCTTTTTCTGTTCCAGGTGACTTAAGATGAAATAGCCTTACACGGCGTGAGCAACCGGGAAGTGTCAACCTCCCTCATGCTCTCAGTAGCATACAATACCCAATCAAAGAGACCAATCTTCCCCAACTCTGTCTCATTCTTCCCTTCACTTCCTGGTACTAATATTAAGCCTCCTACGAATTCCTCGACCTCTCATTCTGCGACCATTGCGAAGGATCAGAACCATCGGAACCTTGTTTCATATCCTAACCCTAAACCACGCCATCGACTTCATGTAGGAGATTTCAACGTCCGAACTCTGTGCCAATTGGATAGCAAGCATCGCACTCAAGAACTCTGGAATCTGGAGTTGTGGATATACTCTGTGTCTCTAAGACATGTATACAGACACGACCCGACTGTGGTTATTGAATTGACTTTAGCTGACCTTAATAGTGAATCTTCAAAATTATTCACCTTACAAGTATCCAGAGATCAAGTGGCTAGCTCCCGTCTAGGTGTAGGCGTAGCACTGAGTGATCTGTAGGGCAGAAAGCGCGCTTTTCAACTTGATGCCAGTCAAAAGCTGTCTGGGTGGATCTGTAAGAACTAGGAAGGATCGTATGACTAGGCGATGCCAATTCTTAATCGTCTATGCATCCACCGACTGCATTTCGGATGATGCAAAGGATAAATTCTATGAGAAGCTGTCAATTTCGCTACAGAAAGCGAAACGTTAAGACCTAATCATAATGGCAGGTGACTTTAATACTCATAGCTGAGGTAGTCGAAAGAGTATCTCGGAGGTATCTACGTAATCCTATGCCAACGGACCGACAACGGTGCTCGTCTGTTTCAGTTTTGTTTCGACAATCATCTGTATCTAGCCAACACTAACTTTAAGGATAATGAGAAACACTGACTCACATGGCGTCCCTAAACATCAAATCAACGATGGACAAAGACAAATCATATTGCTATAACCTCAGCTATCGTTGTGGGGGATTGGTGCTATTTCTGGACTACCTGTTTGAACTCTGATCGTGCTCTAGTATGGGTTCGTATTTGTCTGCACCTTACCGGTTGCAGGAAACAGGTGATAGTAAAGCGTGCTGTGGAAACCTGGCACAACGCGATATAAAGTTTAATGTAGAAACAGGGGTAAAGACAGTTGGTAACCTACAACGAAGTTTAGGAAGCGTCCCTGGATTCGCACAGCGTTATCGGAACTAATTGGTACGAGAAGACTTATTCCAGCTGGCTCGTACCATGATTAAGAGCGAGAGCAACTTAGGCATAAATTGACCAAGAGTCTTTGGATCGTTCCTGAGCATTAGTGGGTGACGAAAGGGGCAGAGATGGAAAAGGTATCAAGGTTTGGCAACTATTTCGTCTTTTTGAGGATACCGATAGGAAGGTGACCATGGTGGGTAAAAGCTTCACTGAATATGACGGAACACTGACAACATCCCGGGACTGGGGCCTACAAAGTTGGACAGAATGCTATGAAGCACAGTTCAGCTGATCCCCAGCAAAACTTCAGTTTCTTTACGTCCATTCTCAGTCTGGATGAGACGTCGATATCGGTCCTCCAACTCTTCTTGAAGTTGAGAAGGGTGTTTCGAACCTGATACGAATCGAGGCGCAGAAACTGAAGGTTCGCCATCCAAATTTTTGAAGGATGCATGTAGGAGATAGCTGATTAGAGTGATGGAGAAACTGAGTGGTGTAAAGGAATAAAGGGTTGTGCCATCAGAATGATGTAATGCTCTGATCATCCCAGTTTATAAGAAAGGAGAAAATTCTTCCTGTAACAGCAGTCAGAGAATTAGTCTCAATAATATTCTGTCAAAGATCCTAGGGTCCGTAGTTATACGACGCCTAACTGGAGCTCGAGAACAGCAAAGTCGAGAAAACTAGGTAGGTTTCAGACCTATACGAGGGTGCATCGACCATATGTTCACCACCGACAGACTGTGGAAGACAGGCACATTTATCGCCAGCTGACTCTTGCCTTATTTCTTGACTTGAAAGTGACATTTGACTCTGTCGACCATCAGATCTTGTGGCAGTGTGAAAGGAGTACCGAGCAATTATATAACGCTAAACAAATATCTCTAGTCGAACTCCAACAGCCTTCTAAATGCTAATCGAGAGTTGTTATCAGAATCGACAACAACGAGTGCTGTTCGCCAGGGATGCCCACTCCCACCGTTCCTATTTAACTTCGTTATTGTGTATTGTCTATTTTGTTTTGAAAATTTGTTGACGTTCCATTGATTATTAAAGTATTCTCCTTGTTGTACTTTTGACAAGCTGCATCACTTTGATTATTCATTGTTAGGATCGTACATCATCATTAAACCACTAGCTAGTAACTGATACTATACCGTCTGACAGCCTAAAACAGTCTGTTGGATCGATGTTTTTATGTACTTCTTTTAATTAATAACATAACACTAGTCTAACGTATTGGCTTTGTATGTTAAGGTTTGATGGGATATAAATATTGGAAGGATAAGTAGTTGCAACATTTCTGATAACCACTGCTCAAAGGAGCTGTCGTGTAATTCTGAGAGACCTGTTACTTGATCAGTACTCTTCATCAATAATTTGTGACTATAAGATTACTGCAAATTCATCTGATTTGTTGATGTGCAAATAAAATTCAAAACGTGTTACATGGGTTGTGTTCGAAACATGTTAACCTTGATCCAGGTGGTATCCAATAGTGGCTTGTAAAGTGAGTACAGAGATATGAAATGCCTGAGATGGTGACGTACAGTGAATAGTGAACGGTTGTTATATCTCAGTCATGTATCCCTTAGCAGTTAGCATTCATGATCTCTTTTGAAGTAAATTTAATCACTGTTATTCGCAAAAACTATCACGTATTGATTTTTAGGAGTGCTGAACACTATTTAATTGGTAATTATTTTCAGTCTGATTGGTATTTCACTTAGATACCCTTTGGTCAAAGTATTGCGATAAATACAGCAGCGTGAAAGGAAACCTTGTTTAACGATGTTCGATCTTGACAGATGCTGCAGGTTTGTACTCAGTTTTTCAGTTAATAATGATTAAAATAGCACTAACGAACTTAACAGACAATCGATAAAAAACTGACAATGAATTTTTATGCTTTCATGAAACACAACCACTTAAGTGATACTTTTGTTTGCCTGCAAATGTCGATTGGTAACTTTGATGTTCGTGAATAAATTATCATCAGTTTTTTTTTCATTTGTCTTCTTTTATCAGCTATGTATTCTATTGATTATACTACTGGCTCAATGACGTCATTTGTGATTGTTTTCTCTGTACTGTTTTCTGGAGTAACAGGAATAATGAATGGTGCGAATGTGTCTGGTATGTGATGCCGACGTACATATTGACTGACCTATACACTAACAGTTATTATTTTTCGGTTTGAGTTGACCAAATGAATTGTCACATAACATATCAAACCCGATGTAGTGACATCTGCCGACAATTCGTTTATATATATATATATATATATATGAGTTTGAAGTTTTGCTTTAAATGAAATCTTAATGGGTGTTATTTACACTTAGACTCACTTGGCATGGTTTCGATTGATTGACTATTGTTCTAATCTACTATCACGTTTATATGATCGCCTCACATCTTATTGAAAAAACCTTGAGCCATACGTGGTATCACAGCATGTACTGAACCGTTGATTAATCGGTATAAACTTTGAACAACTAGTTTCATCCATGAATATTTAACCAATTCAGTTTTATCAGAATACCTAAAGTTTTCGAATTCACTTTGATTTTTAGGTATTTCCGTGGTTGCTGTATTTCCTGCCTTTTTTCAATATGCCAATGAAATTTATATTTTTCTGTCATATTTTATGCTTCTTTCCTATTTCCTTATTTTCCACATAAACCAACCCACTAAATTTAGGAAAGTGTGATTTTTTTGAGGTAGGCATACAATTTTCATCCGAACCCTTTGCTGTTGTGAACGTAAAACCATGAGTTTCATTGGTGTTTGTTTATCGAAGACAATCGACAGGAAGCCCTTCACGTAGGTTTCGTGCTTGTCAACACTCCAACGAGGTGCATCCGCAACCTCGAAGGAACTGATGTCCCCTGTGAAATCTGATCCGATACTGCAGTCAGAGACGCTACTTCTAAGTTATTTGAACCACGATTGACCTCCTGCACAACTGGATTAAATACATCCAGTGCATCAGTTTGAAAGTAGTTTTCATGGTGGATTTATATCGGTCAGCGACCTATTGAAAATATATGAACGGTGGAAGCTGTTGCGTCATAATTTGAGTCTCTTCAGTGGTTCATATGGACGACCTCATGGAGGATAAACCGCAGAACCGTCAGGTCCGTTAGCTAACGCATTCAATTTCAAGCGATGAATTGGAATCCAATAACCCACATTTTCCTACCTTTATCGATTCGCAATATATTCCGCCCATAATCCGATGTTATCAGTGAACATTTATTCTCATATTCCACTCAGTTGAACCCTAAGGTTACGAATTCTCATGAGGAAATTACTTTAGAAGATGATTTTAAAAATTCCTGCGAAACGCTGATTGAGTAATTACAGTATTGCTTGAACTACAGTCTCTACAAGAAAGGGACAGACAGACTGCTCAACGTAAAACCTGACAAAGAAGTGTATCGGTTCAAGTTGCCGTACTTCACAGCAGCATGAAAAGAAGTGAGGGGAAAGAGAGTGATATTGAGGCAGACAGAAAACGAGATAAGGCAAGTACGTGGAAGTCTTCAAGACTTTGAAGATGACAAAGTGTATGCATCTGCACCATTGTGACCGATTTCCAGTCACATCAACGAGAATCTCCATCCCATGATTCCTTTCGCCTAATGACCCTAGTCAAGCAGATTTCATTTTACTTCATGGCACAAACCAACAGTTGATGACGTAATCAACTGAAGCCATATCTTGGCATGGTCTCCTTTAGTCTTTTTCCAACTCAATACGGCATCCACTGACATCGTACATCGAGACAGGCTGTGCCTCGCCATATGCAGCACAAATTTAAATCACATCTGTTGGTGAAGGTTCATAACCTCATTGATTGGTTTTCCAAGTACACTGCACCTGTCCTTGATACTGCTACGAAGAAATCCATTGTAAAGGCGTGTTACAGTTTCTTTTTTTTTACTTTCAACGGCCATGTCTCATAGGGGTTCAATAATACACAGCAGACTGCTGGGTGGGTGGCGAACATCAAATGAGCCTTTCATAGACGAGTTAAGATTTTTTCAACGACCAACCAGTTGAAGCTTATACAACCTTTAAAGCAAGCGAAATGGTCAGTTCATTCTGCCACTTCACTTCTCAAACAAACTAGGGTTGCACTTAGACCAGTTTTGAAGCATCATCTTACATTTAACAAGTAAAAAAATGCATGCCAAACATACTCAGACATCTACTCAAGACGTTCAGAAGACTATTTTGTCAAAGCCTTCACCTAACAGAGCTGTATCAGCTGTGTATAACAATTCAACCATGTGCCGTTATGGTAGTAATTTGATTCTGGAGAAGTTAGGGGTACCTAGAATTACATGCACCCATATGTCTTGAAGGCGGTACTCGACTATGTTCACCGAGAGGTCCAATGGCAAGGTCTATCATCGAGACGGTACATATGTACTTATGGAGGTCTCCCTCTCGTCATCTGACGTTACAAGCATTGATTCCTTTACAAGAGAATCCTTGGTAGATGTAGAGTACGCAGATGATATGGTCCTGTTAAGTGAAGACACTGACAAGATACAGAGTCTTTTGGACACTTTAAGTAGTAGTAGCCAAACAAAGGTTGGGTGTACTGCGCTGCAGTTCGCTTTATCGTATTATGTACATGTGAAACATAGCCATTATAGGTACAGGAAATGAGATGCTTCCGTGTGTATAACCACCTTTGTCTTCGTAGCATACGTCGTGTGTCGTGGTGTCACCATTTTAGTACCATAAACGTCAGGTCCATGGTTTGCATCTGAAAAAGAAAGTCAGTTAGTCACTTTGTAAGCCTTTGTCGATTTAGTTGTCTTGAATATTTGTCACATATCCCTAGTCACCGTCTGTTCCATTGCTCTGTGTTGTCTGAAGTGGGTTCAGGTTAGAAACACGTTGAGGCGGCCAGTTCAAAACATGGCACCAGTGCTTGAAATCTTTGACTATTTGTTTGAGCCGTCTAGGCGAATTTGGAGCATTGGTTTGCATTGCTTGATCAGTACTCCATTCACAGTTGGACACTTCTACAAAACCAATTGATCGGAGGAGTTGATTGTCGTTTTCAGATCAAGATATTTAACAAGTGTCGCTTTCGGTAATTATTTTTGTATTCCGAAGCCTGTCGAAGGATGAAGATATGATTGATGCACTCTCGTACTCGAGAGAGAGAAACGATTTGTTTTACCCTACTGCAGAGATCGAAAACATCTGTTTGAGGTCTATCGTGCATGGCTTTCCAGCCATATTCACATTGAAGCTCATTTCTTCTGTTACTGACAAGGTGAACCTATACCCCAGACTTCGGAGGATCATTGTTCACTAAGGCGTGTTCTTTTATTTGAGAACGACCTTTTTAATCCCTCCCAAGGTTAGAGTGGGATCAGCATGGATTCTAGTTATCCGCAAGAGACACCTTAGTGCTGTTACGCCCTGTCTAGCCTAGGGTATGGATTCGCCCTTGGATCCCCACGATAGCGTAGATATTCACACTGTGACTGTAACCAATGTTATCCTACCGCTATTTAGGACACTTATTTTATAATACAACTTCAAGTGACCATCATTTTAGTCAAAATAGCTTATTGGGTCATTGTGATATGCAAACCCGACCCACACGTCTAGGTTGCATTTGTCAGTCAGAAAACAAATATCTATTCAGAGAATGGTAATAAATTTACCTGAACACTTTTTGTATCCATTCGTGGAGTACTGGAGAGCACAACAAGTTTCATAGGTAGCTTTCTTATAGGTTTGCAAAAAGTAACTGAATATTTCGTTATCACTGTGTAGCATAAATTCAAGATTACCAAGTATCTTCTAAGGATTTTTCTTAGAGCAAAAACAACAATGATTGACCAACATGGATAGGTAAACGTCGTATGTTGCTTATAAAGCTAAACGGTTGAGAGATACACAAACGTTAGCTTTGAAACTAGGATGGACTGAATAGTCGGTTGATATTGGAAACGGTATTAAATTGTTGAATATACCTAGAAGAGAAATGATATGGGAGGCATTAGGGGACAATGATATATGCTGTTCTGGTATCTTACACCATTATTTTCCGATATGGTCTTGATTAGCACTTAATGTCTTTGAAGTATAAGTATGTTCTCTGTGCAAATATTTTTCTGTTGTATTTTTTGTAGGTGAGTTGAAGAACCCTTCTCGATCGATTCCTTTGGGAACTCTTTCAGCTTTGCTATGTACATCATTAATCTATCTCATTATGATTATTTTCCTGGCCGCTTCAAACAGCAGGTAAGCGAATGCGTAATACAGCATCTTTTTATCTTTTTTTGTTAATGCTGTATCCTTTTTCGATATGTAAATTTCTGTATTACATTTTAATTCCATATTCATACGTAATATGCAGTAAAAGATGTTGATATGGAATTGTGTTGTTTATTTGGTGACTATTAATTTTTTGTATTAGATTAATTTGTCACATCAGTCAGTCATCTAGTTGACTAATAGAGTCCCTAGAGTTTATGTAGAACCTTTTAACATGCTTATCGTAAACGATGCAATACCATGAATTAAGGCTGGATGGGTGGGGCATAAACCTTCGCCTGTCCAACATGCAAGATTATCTTGACGTCTGTTGGTAAGTAAATGGAAGTCACCCTGTATGACTTGGAAAAGTACCACTTGTTTACATGTATGCATTCTCTTAAGTATCTCGGTCTACCTCTACCTCGTCTGGTTATTCACATCATTGGAAACCTAAAAATTAACCAGAGTATATATATCAGTTGTAAAAATTTTATCGCGTTTGCAAAGAAAATTCCAACGTTTAGTCTAAAAATGTAGTCCGAGCTTAAGTACTATTTTCTTGAAGAAGCTCGACCAAATTCCTGGATTAGATGTTGGATTTATTTCGTTTCAAATGCATCGAGATTAGTACAGCTATATTTCATCTCAGCATTCCACTCAATATCCAATATTTATGAAACTGTATGGTTATATCTCGACCAAAACTCATATAAATTATTTCACGTCGCATCGACTATCAGTTTTAAACGTCTTCTTCACCTGTACATTTCTCCGTCAAACTGTTATCTTTCATTCTATGTATACACATGTATGGTATATGTCAGATACTAGATTATAAATAACCCTCCTACCTTTCATATCTTTTCAAAATTTATTTCCTTTTGAGATTTGTAACAGTTATATTGAACAACTTTTCCCATCTGCATTTTAACATGCTCAGTGGTATGAGTCATTATTATTGTTCTTGAAGTTGATATTTATCATGGACTGACATTGGTTAGAGGAACATTGGAAACCTGAGAGCACTAGACAGCTGTTTCGTCCCAGTATACTGGTCATGGAACCTTAAGGTCGCGGATTCGATCCCTAGCCGCGTCATGGGTTCGCACTGCTGAAGAGTCTCATACTAGGATGAAACAACTGCCCAGTGCTCCCAGGTTTTCAATGTTCCTCCAACTGATATTAGTCCATGATGAATACCAACTTGAAAAAAATTTTTAAATCCCCACAAACCCTCAAAGTCATTATTATTGTGCCTAGACTTCTTTTCTATGCACTACTTGCGGTAAATCCAACGAGCAACAGATTTTTATGGGTTCGAAATAATCTCTTTTATTTTTGTGTTCTTGTCGTTCGACCCCATCACTTACAGCAAATTATTTTATTACAAGAGAAGTAAACTACTTATGAGTAATCATTCTCTAGTGTACATTGATTTTCCTGTCTACTACTTTTCGTGTGATTCTTTTAGATGAACAGCTTGCAAATATTGTCACGATATGTTCGTGCATGACTAGCTTATCGTCAACGTTTTTCTGCTCTACAGAAATTTTTCTGGAAAATCAAATGGTTAGAGGTACGAAGTAGCTCTGCCAGGATGGAAGGAATTTTGTGAAATTTTCATCAGAACATTTGTTTTACCAAGTTGTCAGTTTCATTCTTATCTTGTTTCTGACTGAAGTCACATGGTGATATGCTACAGATTCTCGATGGGGAGTCTGTCAAGAGGCCATGTTACTTATTTAAGTAAGGAGAGGTTATTCTGTGTCCCCAATTTCTCTCGGTTGTGTTTTGAGAGTGTGGTGATCTGTTATCTGAAGTAGGAGTAACGGGAGGTTTCTGCTATCACATTTCCTATATAAATTTGTTATGTGTTTATTGTTGAAAGTGATTCTGTTTAGCTGTAAATTCTCAGAAGTCTTTGTACTTGAATTTAAATCGCATCGTAATCCTTGGAACTTCAGATGCATATTTTATATGGAGGCGTAGATTCGATGCAGGTTTTTCTAAGCCCCTTAAATAAGATCTGAAAATGATTGATATTCATTTCATTTCACACTCATCAAATACTCGTTGTTACTGGTCTTGACTAACATAAGTTGCAGGATAAGGAGTGAAGTGGTCTAGTGCGTTTGCCATTTCGATTATTTGGGGACCAATATCCTCTTTAATGGACTATCGGTTGAAGAAATCATACCAAGTTTAAGAATGCACTTACTGGACATCTGCCAGCGATCGACCAGACGGTGTATATTCGGCTCTAAAGTCTTCTATATCCTAGTTTAAGTATGTAAGTTATGACTTTACTTTGAACGATATATGGGTGAAAAAAACATCAAATCATATCTTTCTTCTTGGTATTCTTCACATGTTACGAGACCTCCTCGTAATCGATAATGGCGGTAGAAGCAAGATTCTAGGCAAGGACTATCACTTTATGAGTTTTAATATTAGTCAGTTTTGCTGGCTAGGATATCGGTTGCATAAAAAGACCCACCGTCTTCTCAGAAAAATCTGTATTGTATTGCCTAAACATTGTCCGGAATAAATCTATCATTATTATTGTTACTAAAATGCGACCATAAACTTTGTCGATGTAGGTTGAGAATAATCAATGATTGATAAAACCAAGGCATTGCACCGATTATTTGCCTGGGCTATGTTAGAAAATGATTGGGTCCCTCTACATGATGCTACTGTATTGATCATCGTTTCGTAGGTGTACTTACGTTTCATTTCTCTCTTACCTTTGAATGTCTTATTATTTTAAATCGGTTGTTCCCAACCCCTACTTTTAAATCTTGTTTATTTTACATTATCGACATTTCCATTGTTTTTCTTTTCATTTTTGGTCTACTATGTTGCTTTACCTACCTAATCTGTCGATTTTAACGAGTTTTCAAAATAATTTACTTGGAAATCCAAAATGCGCGTTTTGTCCTCTTTGGGACTCATCAGCTGGATGTACCTGCATGATTTAGTAAAACGTTCCAGAATAGTTGGATTCCAAAACACAATGTAATGAACAACAGTGGTAATGAACGTATTCATTTTGTCTAGAAGGGTAACTTTAGCCATTGTAATAGTTTTCGATTCCTTTTTTTAGGGAAAGCCTTCAATACCTACCTTCTACTCTTGTTATTTTACAGATACCTGTTATTAAATAACAATATGTTTATGCAGTCAATCAGCTTTTGGCAACCGATCGTGGTTATCGGTGTTTTTGCGACTACTCTGTCAGCTGCATTAGGTAATCTAATAGGAGCTTCTCGCATTATAGAGGCATTAGCACGTGATGAGTTGTTCGGTAAGTTTTCAAGTACGAAAGGTTAATATACTTTCGCTTGATGAAGTATTCACACCTTTGAGCATATTTAAACTTTACTGGTATATCAGGGTTATATTATTTGATATTTATGCATAAGTATATAAGGTTGATCACTATTCTCAATAAAGCACCAATAATAAAAAGCTTTTTAGTATTTTGGTGAGTCCACCGTATATGAGCAAAACGCACCAAATTATAATTCACATTAAATGTTTCTTCTGTTCTTAATGTCTTCGCGGCTCTTTAGGAAATACTGTATATATTATTTTATGTTTGCAAATTATGCACAGCTAATGAATGAAATAGATCTCAGGTGCTGTTTCTGGTTGTATGTGACACCAGTATGTTTCCTTCAATTAAGCGTATTCGTTGACTTTACTGAAAGAAGTAAACAAACGAAGGTCTATTCCAAATTGTACCTCCTTTCTTCGGACTTTCTCCTTGCACTCTCTCCCTAACGATATCATAAGAGCTTCAACTTCTCCATCCTCTGCATACGATGTCCATAGGCTCTTCTTGAGCACAAATTAATATATACTTACTCATTGTTTCTTAGGTATTTTGTTAAAATTCCTTATCATTCTGACTTTTGGGACAACGCTTCCTCAAAAGCAAACTTAGATGGCATATTTCCAGTAGGTGGTTAGCTAACATGATAATGTAACTGTTCTCAGAACATGATATCTGTACTCGTCTTCATTTATTGTAATGTTCACTACAGTCTCGTATTTAAAGCATCTAACGATAGGCTGAATACACTCCTGATCTCAGTACATTGATGTTCAATGAATTGTAAAACAGTAACAAACTTAATGCATAGAAAAGTAGTCGGTTCCGTTGCTCTATTGACATTTGTCTACTTGTCATCCAGAATTTCCTTTCCTTGATCCTTATTTTGTAATACTTTGGTTTATAAATGTGTATAAAAATCCTCCTATGATGATTGTAGGGGATTAGTTTAAGTACCAGTCTATGAAATCCCACTATCTTGTGGTTATCGTGGATCTAACTGGTGGTTAGAAAGAAATGGTAGGTAACCAAGTAAATGTTTGGTTTAATGAGAGAGTGTAGATTTATATTCTTTCAACCTAAAATGGTATTTTATTCGTAAGACTATAAAATTTTGTCGGAGTGTTCTCTTCTTAATGCGGTATTGGACTCATATATTTCATCAGTAAAGATTTTGGGCTTAAATATCTTTATTTGTTTGGATGATTGTCAAAACCACATGACCTAGTTGTATTTATTGGTACTGTTAAAAGTTCTTAATCGCAGGCTAATATTGACTAAGGTTATCATCTAAAGTCATACCAAATAAGATATTGAAACTGAAGACTGAAAGATATCGTTCGTATTTATTTGAAGATAATTATATTGTGCCACAATGTGACAGTAATTTTTCAATTCACATGTTTCTTGATTAGGCTGTATACTCCGTCCAGCGAAATGGACCACCAAACGCGGGAATCCAATAGTTGCAGTCCTCTCTGCTTGTTTTCTTTGTCTGGTTAGTTAATCAATTATCATTATTTTATTGGTAATGAATGTGCTTTTCTTATTTATTCACTAATATGGGAGCTTCAATATCTATGATTATTCAATTCTATTTTTATTTGTATAAACCCTGCAAACTTTCCATTCCTCTGTACACTTTGCCGAGCTCGCATCGACTATTTTAGAATTTTATTAATTTTTTTTATTCATCAAACCTGCACTGTAAACCAACTGCCAACAAGATCTAATTCCTCACAGCGATAAATTTAGCAAGATGTGAGAAAATATACTGTCAAAATGCCTGAAATACAGCAGATGAAATTTATTTAATGATAGTTAACAGCGAACTTCAGAACACTCGTTTCATCTCATTTTGCACTAATCAACTGCATCTTAATAAGGACTATTGTCCCTATTGATACTAAAATTCAGTACCCATTGTTTGGAACTGCAGAGCGTTATCCATTTCGCTAGATCCAAGATCCATTTCTTGTGCAACGAGCAACAGTTTTTACACAATGGTAATTTTTACTTTCCCCTTTATGTAACTGAACTGTACAATTTCTGAAGTAACCACATTTCGGGAACAATTTATGAATTAAAAAGTGGTAATATTTCTTTTCATTGCCAAAAATCATCATAAACATAGAACCAGGCATTACTGCGTTACAGTCCAAGTTGCCAAACTTCATATCAGCACATCAAACAACAAAAAAAACATGATGGAAAATGAAGAACGAAAGAAGAATTGGTCGAAAGCAGTAGAAAATAGTGAAAGAGAGAAAGGAGGGATAAGAAAGTGTTGAGTTTAGTGTGGTGTCTAGATGAAGATAACGTGCGGGTACATCTGCGCCACTAACGTTGATTCTGAACGATATCACCTAGAGTCTTCAACCACTGGCTTCTGTTATCACATAGACTCGATTCAGAAGTGTACAGTTCCCTACACAACTTAGACCAACAGTTCATGTTTTCGTTTATCCACCCCGAGTATTTTTCCACTCTGAATTAGTTTCAGCTGATATGTAATGTACTAGAAGGCAGACGATGAATAGGCATGCGTAATGCAGTGTCCCAGCCCCACCTCAGTCGATGAAGGCTCACAACGTGATGAAGTGATTTTTCTCTCCCCTGAAACTTCTCGCCTGATGTCTATGGGACTCATGTGTTGACACTACGACTGAGGATCTATGCTACTAAGGGAATGGTGGTGAAAGGCCTGAAGCCTTCTCGTGTCTTCTACCTTGAATGGCCATGTTTCACAGCCATAAAGTAGAGCGAAGCGGAGTGCAGCACGGTACTCTGGACCGTTAATAAACAATGGGATATCGCGGTGGCGCTACAGATGTCGTGAGTTGGCAAAATCCAACCGATCCTTGTGTGTCTGTGCAGAGGTTTCGTCGGGCACTGATCTGACTTCCCCGGTAAGTGAAGTGTTCAAGGCACTCGACCATTTTATTACTTGGTATTGTTAGCTTGGACACTACTGTAGACCAGTTGTTGAGCAGCAACTTGTTTTTGGGTATCGAGAAACTCATCGCAGTCATTCTGGAATTGGTTCACAAGGTTTGGAGAAGACTGTGGATCTTGTTAACATCTTTACGTGAGATGGGTATGTCATTTGCGTACTCTAGATTTACTGAGGATTCTGTTGTGAAGTGACCAATCCGTGTGAAGTTATATGACGAGAGGGAGACCTGCATACGTATGTTTGTGATAAAGTTGAATAATAATGGAGTGAGTGAAGATATTTGATGGACACCACTCGACGTGCACAACTCGCCCAATATCTCACCATAGGCTCTGACACCCCCTTAGGTGCTCAAGTAAAGAGACTTCAGCAGACTGATTCACTCACTCGATACCTCTTTCAGTGAGTGACATTTCCGTAAGACTTGTCGGCGGACGGAGTCGCGCGCTGCCTACAGGTCGAGAAATGCAGTTTTTCTCGGGGATTGATAAGCGTACCTGTGTTCCAGAACTTGGCGGAGTATGTGTATTTGGTTCATACATCTATGACCAGGTCTGAAGCTTGTCTCTTTTTTCGGACTTGGTGTTCTCCATCTCCACTCAGGCGTCAGATGATTATAGTTCCTTGAATTTTTTTGGACATTGTTCGTCAAACTGATTCCTTTCTGGTTATCAGAAGAGGACTTCGCGCCTTTTTTGACGACTGGGTTAATCAGTGATTGGAATCAGTTTGAGGGGATCGTATTTAACCTCAGTACCTTAGTGAACTCGACTAAAATACTACCAAAAATAATGAAATTGTTTTTCTTTTTCACTGTCACAGTTACTAACGAATCTCTGTTCCTCAGAAGTTGGTGCTTTTCTGAAACTGCTAGAAACTGGCGAAAAGTTTCGTATAGGAAATGTTTAGCCTTAAGTTAGTCATAAGATGTAAAGGTATAGGTGTATCGTTTTTCCATGGATCGTTAGTTTTCCTTTCATTGTATATGCCAGTAAAGTGAGGGTACAAAAATATGGGATGAAAATCGCCTACAGTAAACTGTAAATTATTTAAGAAAAGTGAATCGTCCTAACAACTGTATGTTAAGTTATTCTTGAGAATAATGTCATCTTAAAGTCTCACAGCACTTTAGAAAAAGACCTAACCATTGATTGAATTCATAGTTGCATTTCGTTCACCAGGCATTAGGATCGATCGGTTATTTGTACGTTCGACCGTCCCAGATATCTTTGGGTGTAAGACTGTTTCGTGGATCTGTCCAAAATGGTATTTGAAATCACTTAAGAAGTTTGACGTTAAAAGCAAATTACTGTATAGCAGTTTACATGATATATAATGCCCTGTTTATCTATTTTCTCTGTATATTTAGATTATATCTATTTTAAATATTCCCTTTGGAAACTCCTCTGCTTATATACCGGACGGACTTTATATTCTAGCAGATTAAAAATGTGATGTGTTATATAACTTTTTGGTACATCTTACGCCTATCTTTCATTCATCTTTGATAGTTAATGATGGATCGTGGCTAGCAGTGGAATCCAGGATGCACATTTCGTCCTGTTTGGGACTCGTCAGCTGGATGTACATGCTTCCCAGTGAATGATGTTGTTCCCACCGGGATTCCGACTCAGGAGCGACCGCTTCAAACGCCAGCGCGTTATCCACTACACCACCAAGCCACTTCTTGTGTGACGGGTATAGTTTTTAGTATAAGGGTTTTTATATGATACCGTCATTGATGGGACCGAATTGATTGGTCTCTATCAGCATATAGGCTCCTGTGCGGATTCCTCGATGCCACAATCCATCATTAACATAATTAGATTGCTGGCAATATCGAGGCATCCGCACAGGAGCCCATATGCTAATAGAGACTGATCAATTCGGTCCAATCAACGACGGTATCATATAAAAACCCTTATACTACAAACTATACCCGTCGCACAAGAAGTGGCTATCGTGGCTCGGTGGTGTAGTAGATAACGTGCTGGCGATAAAATGCTGACGAGTCCTACTTAAATTCATGCATTCAATAAGTCCTGCTTTACTGACGGCTGTTGTTTTTGATGATTTATTAACAAGAACAAGGCATGTATCAGCGAAGAAATATTTCTTTTCTTCTTTGATAATTTAGTTCCAATTACCGAACTACTCATAAGTAGGTGATTTTTAAAGACCTGTTCGTTTTTAGTTCAGATCCAAGTAGTACATTTATCGAAAGGTGATCTAATGTTTCTACTTACTACACTTTTGTTCATTTTAAATATAGCTTTCGATCTTTACCAAACTGTTTTGTTTATTTTTATTTCTTATTTCTAAAATATAGTTAATCTTACTGATTGGTAGATTAAATGCTATTGCTCCACTTGTGTCGGTTCTGTTTTTACTGGCTTATGCTGCTGTGAATTTAGCATGTGCTGGTCTAGATGCTGCTTCAGCGCCTAATTTCAGGTACGTTACCTTGTAAGACATTTTAAAATCTCCGTTTCGACACCAATGACCATTAAATTTCGATTTCTAGTGCGTAGTGTGCGTTGTCAAACAGAAAAATCTCTTAGTTGCTATCATCTCCTGGAAAGTTATCGAAAACCAGTGAATACTAAGCAGGTATTTGTTCAGAGTGTTGGATTTCTGAACAGTTTTTATCCGAGTTATCCTGTTAACTGTAACGTGGGATATTTACTGAAACATTTTCCCCATATATTTTGTATAGCATTTTCTTGAAACAAAAAATGGTGAAACCAGCTCTTAGCCCTTTTTGAAATCTAGGAGTCAAAGTAGTCTTAACCTTAGATAGGTCACATTCCCATAATCATTGAAGGTAGGAGGGCGTGGGAAAGCTTCAGGTGTTCAACCACCGTCTTCATCCTAGCATAGACAGTGTGTTGTGGAGCCATTACGTCCGTGACATAGAAGTTAGGGGCATAGTTTTGGATAGACGAAAGTCGGCCGTTAGCCTTTATGACTCAGATAACTGGGACATGTATCACGCATACCTAGTTACCGTTCGCCTCATCGTACAATATCGGCGAAGTGGGTTCGAGTTAGGAAACGGTTAGAGGTGGCCAGATAAAAACATAGCATTATTGCATGAAACCTTGTACTGTTGGTCTTAGCCGTGTAGGAAAATGTAGTAAACTTCCCGGTTGGAGTCCTTGTGACAATAAAAACCACTAGTTTGAGACTGTAGGTGATATTAGAGAGAAGTCCAATGAGCAGTTGAAACTCTTATCGACACAATCGAATTGATAATGTTAAGGTTATCAAATCTAGCAACAATTTATCTGCTTGACAATTGTCTCTTCTTCTGCATATTATTCCACGCAGTTCTTGTACTTTATACTCCCATCTAATATTGTATCTCCTTTTTGTCTGATTTGTCATCAATCTATAATCACTTTCGACCTTGCTATACATACTACTTGTATGCATTTTTCTGGATAGCTCTCACTACAATATTGCTCAGAATCGACGTCGTTGGTGCGTATGCATACACACATTGTCGTCATCCTAATCGTCGTATCGAATTTCAGTAGTCTCATTCCACTTTATTCTCTTTTTTGAAATTTCTACCACTTTTGACTACTTTCTTCTGTAATTCCCTGTCTTTCAACTTGATGTGCTGTTATGAGGTGTGACAATAATTCCAAGTCCGCTATTGATGATGACAGGCTGGCAGGTTACATTTCTTTCTTCGAGCTGTCTTTTTAAGTAAATATTTCCTGAATGTGCAATCAAAACTTAATGGAATAAGCCACGTGGTCAAGTTCATCTACTCATTCCAAAGTGTCTTCATGGTGAAATCACTTTTACGCTACAGGATCTATCATCCTAATCAACAGAGATTTCTGTCTCCAACCTAGAATTATATATATATGTATAGGCAAAGTATTTGATAAATATGCATTCAGTTTATGTTCGTTTATCCAATTTCTCATCTCGTTCATTCACTAGACCAACATTTCGTTACTTCAATTGGATCACTTCAATCACTGGTATGATCGGTTGTGTAATTATGTGTTTACTTATCCAACCTATCTATACTGTAATTGCAATAATTGTTTTGGGATTGTTAGTTTTTTCCCTTTATCAACGGCATTTAGAATCTTCATGGGGGAATATTGGACAAGCACTTCTGTTTCATCAGGTAATGAAATCTATAATCATTTGTTGATTCCTGTTTAATCGCGTCAATGTAACAAACTTCTCAACCTAAGTTAAACTTAGCTAACAAGTATTACAATCGAAATTTTTCAGTGTAATACATATTGCTTGAAAGAATTTAACCTTATCACGCGACTATTAAGTCGGTGCTCATAAAAGTCTAGAAATGTGATTAGCAAATCACATATACATCACGATATGCAGGGAGTTTTGCAATCATCGTTCTTCCTATGTTAAGCCGATCTTTTAAAAACCATTACGTGAAAAGTATGTTTTGTATGACGACCAACAGTCGAAAAGATCAACAAGTACCGGTCAGTCGAAAACTATCTGTCTAGACGCCAAACGAACCAGATTCTCAAAGAGGGTCAAATTCAGCCGAACCAATATTAAACAGAAAAGATGTGTAAAGAAGCACACTGTGGTTTATCTTAAAGTCCAGATAATTGTGAGCGCTTGGGACAATGTAAATGGAAGAATAAGGTTGATTGTTCGGTAATGTCACAACAAATACCGACAATATATCCCTTTACAGCTGCCTATACGTATGAGTACTTACCAGTGTTGGTTACTTAACGAAACTCCTCTTGCTGTAAATAAATTCAGTGAACTTTGTCTGAAATAGTATCTCGTTAGTAACACATTTTCGTTGTAATTAATCTAGTTGGCAAAGGAAAATGAAATTACATTCTGACACAGAACTCACATTTCACTCACTTATTGATTGCTTCATAATGAAACACTTGTCAGCTATGCATAAAACACATCATGTTAAACGTATATTGTGTAATATATCATTTCTACTGTCTCATTATTCTATATGGAATTCATTTTTCCAGATTCGTAAGTATTTACTGCTATTGGATTCACGTAAAGAACATGTAAAATATTGGAGACTTCAACTATTGTTGTTAGTTGCAAATCCACGTTCATCAGCTTCTCTTGTTCAATTTATGAATGGTTTAAAAAAGGTGGTTTGTATGTAGTTGGTCATGCAGTATACGGAAATCCAGATGAATTCACTGACCAATCGGACCCAAGTTTAAACCAACGATGGTTAGTTTAAAATACCTTTTAAATAATGTTAAGTAGAAAATAAATTCAAAGATAATCGTTTCATTTGTTTGTTCAACCTTCACAACTCTATATTATCCATAATTGATTAGCACACCCAGTTTAGTAGACTGCGTAACCAATTCGAGATAACCAGCAGTTCACCGAAGTGATATTTCATTTGCCCTATCGTAAAAATACTCGTACCTTGCTATTTAACAGCTTTTCGAAGCGAAGAAAATGTTACGGACTTCATTAGTTGCACCACATATTAGCGTTCGTCTCTTAGATACTCCGTATTGCTCGATTAGTTTGCCCTGGAATTTGGTCTAAATTTTATGTGGAAGATCCTTAGAAAAGTTGGTAATATCTGTCAATAACAAATGCACTGGTAAGATCCTGTGACTTCCCTCCTTCATGTCGTATATGATTCAAAAACTGTGTAATTTATTGCTAGTGTGGAATACTCAAAATTATGCCGATCTTTAAATACACCAAGTAGTTCCCTGCCTGAGACATCATGACTAACAGTTAAAAACAGAAAACTAGAAAAACCAATAGAACTTATTGGCCACTAGTGCAACCAAAAAAGTACTAAAGTTGTACGCTTCTTATAATGTCATTCATGACATTCACGAGGTAATTCACAGAATGTTAAACAGTCTGATTATTAGTAAAGTGGTTTGTCTTACAAATCAGGCAGTTGGGTAAATATAACTGTCGATAAAAAGTAATAAAGCAAAATAATATAATCGTAAGGTAATGCTACTTCTTATTTAGTTTTTCTGGGAGATAATCGTATTGCCCGACATCTCCTCTTCTGAATATTATACTTCATCCACGAGATACTGCAGCACCTTTTCCGGAAAGCCGATTCGAACTGCTGAAGATCGTTTGTCTGGAATTTCTGTTAGTGTTAACAGTTGCATCAGAGAGAAGTGTAAAATACTTTTCCGCCTCAACAATATAAGGCATTCTTCTGATGCAACCTACGCTTCATCTTGACTTTAAACACGACTACTGATAATTGTTTTCCAACAACTACTACAGATTTAGAACGTTTCAGAACTCCTGAAAACTTATCAATATATTTTGAGTGGTGTTGGCAAATTAACTTTAAATTCGAGCTGAAAAGTGTGTATCTGCTTTAGAGGTTCAAACTGTATGAAATCGTGGAAGCTTTGTGTCTTATGACATTTCTTATCATTCTTAGGTTTTACTGTTCAGGCGTATCATTATTTCTACATGAAATTGCCAATGAAATGTGTAAAATTGTGATATCATTAATTTCTTGATGTCGGTGACCGATTGGATGCAGGTTTTTCGATTTGTTTCATACAAGTGTAACTAACAGTTACCTATGCTATGTACTCCACTCAAATTCGTTAGATGGGAGCTTATGTAACTCTTCAGTATCACACATGTTAACCACTGCGTGAATAGTCACACTCTTTCACAGTTGTGAAGGAAAACTCCCATTAGTGTCTAAAGATACTACCACTTTTGATTCGTGTTGTTTCTATGATTCAATTCACTGTTGACAAATTAGTTACCCTCAAGTAATCTGTAAACGGTTCGGAGAGTCGTAATATGCTATTCATTTAAATTAGATGGCTGGTGTCAGTTTCACAAATGTGATAGTTTAAATAAAATACGAAAGAAACAACAATAGCTTAGGATGAGATGTGAAACTGAATGGACTGCGAGATTTTAATCATGAATGCTCGAATTCCTTGCTCGGAGTCTGAATGGTATATCCTGTGAGGCATTTTCACATACTGTTAGAGAATAGTCTTATCATGACTTGCACAAAAGGGGTTGGTTTGAAGGCATTAGGTCAGAAGCTGTTACTAACTATGACCTACACAAAATTTATCATGTAGTCAATATGCAATCATAAGTCGTGTTTACCAACTGCGATTAAAAACATCATTCAAGTTCGTGTAAATACTAAAAGTTTTTCTTCTTAGTGATGATGCATAAAGTGAAAAAAAGCCTTGTTAAATTTGTACGTTGTAACATATCAACTCGTGGTTAGGAGGGGCTAATTACACTACTTGTCGCATTTCCAGTTAAAGATATTCTGTCTGTCCATAGTACAAATGATTGTTTGTATTTTGGCAACTGGTCAGTGTAAAGAACAAATATAATTTGGTTCAAGGGGACGTTTAGTCAGCAAACCGTCTTTTTGAGGACTTCATCACTGTATGATAAAAAGCATGAGTGTGTGGATCACCTTTACATTGAATATCCTTATAAAACCTTTTAGATTGATATCATTTCTACGCTTTATTTTCGTGACTTTTTAGTACCTATATAGTTAGTTGGTATCTATCGTATGAATCACCGTTATAGTTTTCGACCTCACTTGACTACCACATAGGGTTAAAATTACATCAAAAGTATCATTTTACTGTAAATAGGAGAGTTTCATGCACTAGTTGATTCTGAAGGAATGTAGACTTGCCGTTTATTGTATATTTTAGATGCAATTGCTTAGGGGAATCTATTTATTTGAAGCTGATTTTTAGCATAGATTGACATTAGCTTCAGCATCACTGCGTAAAAAGGAAATACTGAGCGATGGCTTCAGTTTAGGTTTACTGCCTGAGCATACTTACCTACTTGATATTTTGGTGCCTATTCATTGCAAGAAAGCACTAGGATAGTGAAACATGGGTAAGATGGAAGCTGTCCACACAGAATTATGCTCTTACAGCTTTTCTAGGATACCATGCAATCGTAGTCTATAAATCCACTATAAATTTAACTTTGACAAGTCATACATCACTTTTAAAAAAACAAAGCTATAAAATGTTTTGATCACTTTTTATCCTCAGGTATTGGACGCAGTATGTGAAATATTTGAAAACCAAAGCATTTGTGGAGGTAACAGTTGACAGAAATATACGCAGAGCTATATCGCATCTTATTCGAATCTCAGGTTTGGGTGCAATGCGCCCAAACACGGTGTGTCTAGGATTTTATGATGATAAACCATCGATTGTAAGTTCTTCAAATACTCTTATCTACCTACTGTAGTCAATATTTCTTTCTTTGGTTAATGTATAGTGTTTGTAGATGATTTTAACCGTATGTCATTCTGTGCTTATTGATTTCACTACAGATGCAGATGGGAAGAATCAGATTCCTACAATCTTTTCATTTGCTTTGTATGTAATTGCTATTTGCTACAGTCACTTATTTGACTTCAGCTTAATTTTGTATTGTACACCCATGTCTAAGTGCGTGTACTAACATCTCACTGCTCCAACGTATGGTCTACTTTGAGGATTACTGACTTACTTGGATGTATCAGTATGTATTCATCAAAAATTTACAAGTCGATTGGGTGTTTACATGTATACCTGCATTTTTATTTTCGTCCCGTATAAATCTCCAAAATCTTGCTAACCTTTTACACTGTTATATTTCTTGTTTTTCGATTGATTTTTACACCATAATCTTATTATTCCTTATTCATAGGATGTCCTAGCTCGCATTTGGAAAGAACGTAAAACAAAAGCTTCCAATTCATGGACCAATCAAATACACTCATCTGATTCTACTGACTTAATTGTTGAAAATAATGGTTCTCAAGCTGCAAACGGTAGGCTATTAGTCTCCGATACTGTTTATTTTTGGTTATAAACTCATCTAACCGGAAATTTTTTGTTCGTTTGCATGTTTTGAAGTGAACTAATTTACTTGTTTATTATAAACCGATTTCCAAGTGCCAAGTTAAACTGTCACATCATATTTAGTTAACAGGGTTTACATTTTAACGTTAGTTCATGCAAAGTTCTGAAAAAACTTTTTCAAAGAACAAAATCTTTTGGAATTTCACATACCCATCAGACTGTAGTCGTGATCGTGAACTGGTTTGAAGAACACATCCTGCTCGTAAATTTGCGTGCTATCAATCCACTCAACAAATAACCCAGAATTGATGTATTTTTTCACATCCGTTAATATAGAAGAGTACATGGGATAATTAGACAATGATTGACTGAACTAAAGGTAAACTTTAGCGATTATCGATAATGAATACTACTATAGGCCCATTTCAACTTTGAATATATCTTGGTTTTATATTTCTTAACTAGATTTTCGCTTGGTCACTAAGAGACATTTTGCTATTTTTTCTTAGCTTATAAAGTAGACAATAACTTGATGTGCTTAGTATTCTGCAAACATCTCGATTTCTGAAAGTGAACTAAATCATCTTTGGTTTGATTTTCAGTACCTGGTATTCAGCATCCACTTTCAGCGTTACATACTCCATAGTTTGACTTGATGTCAGTACTGTTGCGATTCTATTCGATTACGGATAAATTCAAGTTTTTCATCTCATAATAGCCACATCTTATCTTTACTCAAAACCCAAGTACAGTAGTGTTCATTGTCGATATATTTACACATTACTGACATTATAGGTGTTCAGAAAATTAAGTGTAATAAACTACTCCTAGTAATTATTGTAGACAATTAAATGATATGCTATGCAGAGTGATAAACATTTTACTGTAATTTTAAAGTAGAGCTCGTCGTAAGAGCGAAATGTGTGCAAGTGTTGATATCAAATACCTTTCATAGTACATCCTGATCAATTAAGTTTCTTGTGTTATTTAGACTGAAGATTATAGTAATGAGGATTGTAAAGATGCGTAGATAGTGTTAACATTTTTTATATCATGCTAACTGTGTTTACTTTTCCATATATTTTACCCTACGATCTACATTTAAAAAAGTTGTAAACAAAATCGTAGCAACTTAAATTGATGCCTATTCGTTTTCTCTTATGAATTGTTTCAATAAATGTACTTGATTGCATAGAACTAGATGTTGCATTAGTGAGTTATCAAATGTTATGTCCCAGTAATAGCCTGTTACCATTATAAATAACCGTAGATTTGATTTATTTTAAGTATTTTAAATACTACCCAACTCGAGAGGAATGGTGTACCTAATTTTCTTCTCTTGTAAATGTCACCCAGATAGTCTTAATAGCCAAACCTCCTGTCAATAAAATGTGAGGTGTATACTCAAGTCACTTACTGGTGAGTTCCACAAACTTTCTCAATGGTTTGCTGATATTTTCATCGACACTGTAGTAATTCCCCAGTCTATTAACCTTATTGTATTCTACTGTATGACTTTTTTTTTCTACTAAAGGCAACTAACCGCATAAAATGATTAACTTTTTTCTCTGTTTAATTCACTTTTGTTAACAAAACTCATAGGTTATATAATAAGTAGTAGCGAACTGCTGGCTAATTTCGGCTCACTTCAGCATCATGCCTCATCATCTTCATTTATTAGTCAAGATAGTTCAGACGACCATTTACAGACCGATAATCGTGTTGGTCGTCTAACTTCACAAGAATACGTTAGTATTATTCGAGAAATTCTCAATATGGAGGTAGGTACTCACATCCACTTGGGTTTTGTCTTCAGTTAAAGTTTTAACCATGATAATCTCTCTTTCTTTTGTTACTTTTTAAATACAATATATTTGAATATTTAATCACAATCAAAATCAATCAGTATTTCTCGATTACTGGATCATGGTAATGTTGTTTTTTGTCTGGCTTTACAATTACATTTAGGAATTATTTAGAATAGATATTTGATACTGTAGTGTTCAATAAAATTTGGTTCTAAGTCAATGAACTAAATTTTTCAACAGTGAGTACCTACAGTCTGTCTAGGGATCAAAATCAGGACCTTCAGGTCTCATAGCGAATGTGTTAGGCATTCAGCCCCTAGGTTGAAGTTCAATGTCCCAAAGTTTCCTTCTGTCAGTTCGCGACATAACACGAATATCAGCCAGTGCTCCCAGGTTTTCAATGGTTCTCCAACTGTTGTCTGTCAGTGATGAGTGTCACTTTAAAAATGAAATCCCCATCAACCTCAAACTGAATTAGACAATGATAACAGAGGTCACAATAATAATAACAACGATAGGATTTCTCAATAATTCATATTATCTCATTACTTCATGATTGTCGATATGTGCGTAGGGGTTGAGGGGAACAAATCACTGTTGCATAGCAAATGGGTAATAAAGTTGTTAAACTCTTCATCAGTTATAAAATGAAGGCCAAAATGGCATTTAAATAAAGACGGAGTAAATGCATAATAAGGGTTATAAAAGTACAACGAAAAGATAATGTTTTTTTCCCTAAAGTTATCGGCGATTTATTTATTTCGAAATAGTATTCATCACGGAATGACATCAGTTGTTTCGTCCTAGAATAGGACTCCTAAGCAACTCGCACCCACGACTCCTCCAGGGGTCGAAATCAGGATATTCAGGTCTTGCAGCTAGTACGTTACCATTCATTGATTTCACAGAAGTAGGCGACTGTAAACCATTGGATTCAGACCCAGTGGGTGATCAGTAACGTGCTGCCTGTGATAGTGGATGCCCACTGCTCAGGAATCCTATTCTAGGACGAAACATCTGTTTAATTCTCCCAGTTTTTCAATGGTCCTCTGACTGATATCAATCAGTCCCTGATGAACACTTCCTTGAAATAAAAATAATATTAACACTTATCCAAAGAAAGGGGAATTATTGTAATTGTATCGAGGTTGAAGACCATGGGGGGAAGGTAAGAGAAAATTTCTATTATTATTATTATTTATTGATACTTGTAACTCTCCGTTTTTAAATTGGATCGGATGGAGATTTGCCTCTGTTGAGTTATTATGGCAAATAATATTCAGCCAGTGTCGGTGCATCCGTCGTTGTCTCTTTGCAATCTCTGGTTCTGCAGTCAGTGTTTGGAGTTCGAATGAAGTGGAGGATGAGTTCGACCGAAAACTATGGAACCTGTTACAGCCAGGCAAACATTCAGAGATTGTTGTTGTAGCAAATGATTTCAGTGGACAATTGAGTTGGTGAAGTCAGGCAGAAAGGAACTTTTCGTGCTACAGCTGAAGAAACAGATAATTCCAATCACCTGGTACAACCGTGATCAGGCAACCAAGTGTTTCTATTGAGCATGTACTTCAAAGACGAAGAGAGACACTGTCTGAGATGGCTTACTCGAACGTCAAGTCATTTGTGGAGACAGATAGATTGTGATGCTATTAGTTGTTTGTGGGGAGTGTTGATTGTAGATTGGTGCTGTTTCTGGAGCACTTGTTTGGATAAGGATTGGGTGTTGGTTCCAGCCGCTGCTCGTTAATGATTGTAGGAGAAGTATTCGAACAAGATGATAAGTAGTGCAGCTGGATGATGAGAATACTAAGGCTGCTTTCAGGTATAAACTGGTTAGACAGTAATCGGAACAGAATGACATAACTCATTTTGAATAGGGTTGGTGCGGTCTCCAGTGTACTGTAGAGACAGCGTTGAAGATTAGGTTGTAAATGACTGTGAGAGAATGGTAGAAGATGGCTAGTGTATCTCTCCAGTTTCTTCAAAATTAATGGATTGTCGGTAGTGGATTTGTGTATACTGCGAGCCCAATGAGAGGAGGATGCTACTAATATGTGGAGTGCTGTGAACAGTGGTATGCAAGGAAGATTACGGAGATGGGAAATGTAGCACTGATAGGTAATAGTAGATAATAAATAATTTAGAGTGATCAAGGAAACTGGGGTGGAAATGTGTAGTTATTGAGACTACAGGGGAGAAGGGTGTGTCTGTGGTTCACGTGTATGGTAGTTGAGTGAAGTGGTGTGCAGAACACTTCTATGAACAGTTTAACTTTCCTCCAATGACTATTATGTTGTCCGGTATGGAGTTGGATGCTGAATGGACTATCTATGTATAAGGCTTTCATGAGTTGATAAAGCTGTAAGTAATCGAAAGGAGGAGGGGGAGGGGGAGGAGAAGGAGAAGCAGGAAGGTAGGTTAGATGGAGAAGTACCAATGATATTTAAGGACGTTGGTTGAAGAGTATTGACCAGTTTACTTGAATTACTAGGTAGTGTATGGGAGTGAGATGTGGTCTTTTACTGGTCTCATACATTTTGGACACATAATCTTGTTCTCGGACAGGTGTTATTCATTTCACAAAAGTGATGTGTTTCATGCCTAGATGGTTACTGGTAATATGCTTGCAGCAAAACCTGAAGGCTCTGCGCCCGATTCCTGATAGAGTCAGTCTAGCGCACTACTGAGAAGTCCCGTGCTGGGAAGAAACATCTTTCCAGTGCTCCTAGGTCTTCAATGGTTATTCATCTAATGCCAGTCAGTGATGAAAAAGACCGAATTGTATGTTGTCACAAGTCGAACATTTTTAATCCTTCCTTCTCATGAGGGGAGGCAACATCAGCATATAGTAGAAGTCATCTATATCGAACTTTGTACTTTTGTTACACTACTCTCAACCGGCAAGTAATACGATGTGTCTCTCGATCCCGAGCGTGGCATAAGCTGTCTTTATTGTGATGGCACATAGCTTCTGTTTTAGGACAGACTTTCTTTGCTTGACAGGACTTTAGGGAACTATTGTTCCAACCAACACCGTTCTTTCGGTCATTGTGATATGTAAGCTTGATAATCCCGTCAAAATGGCAGTAATCGATCATGATTATCATTGAAGGAAACGATATTCGAATTTACCATATTGGCGTGTACCTAGTTGTTTAGTTCTTACGTTGCATCATCTTTAATGATAGTGTTTGCGTTATAATAAAGATCAGTTGCTCTTGTTTTTTTATTTCAACTGTTATTTAGACCAATGTTCTACTTGCTCGAAATTTTGACAAAGTGATTTTTGACGAGGGTATGTCTGGCTGGGATATGGCACGTCGTTATTTTCGCAATCTTTGCCATTCAACCAATCGTTCATATCGTTTCGATTCTGGTTACCTTGGTGATTATACTGGGGATACAATGATGACTGTAGCTAATGCTATGCCTCAAATAAATCCACACAAAATTGATGCTTCAAAGGCCATATACTTTGATATATGGCCAGTAAATCTACTTGACTTTTGCTATGAACAGTTCAATTTATTGTCATCAAGTGAAGCAGTTCATGAAAAAGTCATCGACCGTACTGGTCTTTTTCTTTTACAACTTGCCTGTTTAGTAGCTAGGTCACCATATTGGCGTAAACGTCGTCATCCACCAAAGCTACGTGCATTCTTTCCATGTTTATCTATCACGAATCGAATGAATGGTTGTAATGGCGAAGTTATGACGTCGACTGACGGAACACATCCTCATTTGTCTACATTGTTGAAAAATTTGCGGATTCCTGTAGGTTACAAATATACTAGTCTGGTTACTTGTATAAACTGATGTATTTTTTTTCTTCGAATTTGATTTCCTTACGAGAAATCTTTCATTTTTTCCATTGTATCATTTGAGTTTGGTTTCGTTCAACTGCAAATACTTTTTGAAAACTTTGGCATGCCTGACATCAATTGCCTTATGTAAATGTTTTTGAAACATCTGTTTTGCTGCATCAGACGATTAATATGAAGGAAACTGGTTAGTTGAACAAGTAGATGATGCATGAAATGCCGTGGGTGACAAACCGCATTCATATTAACCATGGGCTCTGCGGTCACACACTAACCCTTTTTCTCAGATACCTCAAGAAGAACTAGCCTCCCACGGTGTCGGCAGCCTGAAAGTGTCAATTGCCCACGCGCTTCCAGTAGTAAACAAGACCCAATCAAACATAAATCTATCTCCTTTGCCTTCCGTTCCTAGCACCAATATTAAGCCTCTAAAACCTTATCGAACCTCTCACTCTGCGACCATTGCTAACGATCAAATCCATTGTTTGACAAAATTCCTCTTACCTCCATTTTAGTTTTTTTCCTATTTAATGTACCCCTTTATTATGTTTTCTTATGTACCTAATGATTTACTGAAACTTGGTAATGATTGAAGGTGAAATAAGAACCGGGTTTGCGACGCTATTAGAACCTAAAGGTCTCTGGCTTAAACTTTACCGCAACCAAATGTCACCTTCGAGCATCCTTAACGTCAGTCTGCCAGTCTGCATGCATCTCGAATAGTTTCTTTAACCATGATTTGTTGCCTGCTGTGATATGTTTCCTCAGATGTCCTTGGTCATATCCCAACGCGTTTAGACTTCTTTTACATTAACAAGCATCTAGTTAATTCTTAGGTTTTATCTTGGTTCTTCGAAAACTATGCAAGCAGCTGATGAAAGGCTGCGGAACCAAATGACTACATTTTATTTTGCAACTTTTTTTCTTTTCGACGAAGTCATTTACTAAGCTGTATATCCGTGAATATATGTTACAGTAGGCAGAATGTTCCAGAATTGTTTCCTATCAGGGGGCAAAATGTATTGAATGACGAAAAGAAGTTAATTAATACACATTTGTGTTTAGAGTGGGAAAATGGACAGGGGATTATGAAATTAAGTGTAATTACGTAATAGAGGATGAATGTATGGCAAAGTAGGAAACTGAACGAAGGGTTATGGAGATAAAATTGCGATTATGTAATACCGGATAAGCCTATGGCAGAGTATGAGAATAAACAGGGGATTATAAAATAAGATTGTAATTACGTAATACGAGTTCAATCTATGACATAGTAGAAAAATGAATAAAGTATACATGTGTAGTTACCTGGTACAAAATGAATCTGTGGCCGACAGGTTTTTATGATGGCATGGCAAAGATAAAGGTTGGACGTACTTTTTTTGCACGCATAAGGCTGGTTTGAACTTCTGGATGGCTAGTGCTTTAGCTATAGACAGATGCTCCCTTTGAGTGTTCTGAACGGACCCTGTAGAGAATTTTGAATGGGCTCTCGAAAGGAGCTAAGTGGCCTGAGTTCACAAGGTGTTTTGTTATCGAACTGAAGATGCATTTCCGTTCTCCCTTTGCAAGCCAGACTGGGTAGTGTTCGCGGACACGTTTTTCAAGCGTACGCATGTTACGGCCGATGTACTCAGCTCCACAAGAGCAAGTAAACTGATATACACACATTGATATGGCCCAATGCGTCGGCTTGTCTTTCACATATTGACCGAAAAGCTTTCGCACGAGAAAATTATCCAAAGGTTGGCGGCGAAGTATGTTCTTTTTAAGGATTTTGACAGTCATTTCCTCAGGATCTCTGCAGCAATATCATTTTTGAATTCAAGACTCAACAAAAGGATCTTTTTCGGCGCCAAATGTCTTTGTTCACTTGGGTTCTTTGGCTTTACGTTCTTATCTGTGAATCTGATCAGGAACCCGTTTTCCGCTAGAGTTCGTCGAAGTATTTGCAGTTCTCTGTCAACCGTGTTCTCAGTACATATTTTCCTGATCCTCGAGGAAAGTGAATGAATAAGATTTCTTTTCCTGCATAGGAGGACTGAACTCTGAAAATTAACAAATTGTCCGTTCCCTGTAGGCTTTCTGTAGATCGATCTACGAAGTGAATTATCGTCTTTTGTTTGAAGTTGAACATCAAGAAAATGGAAGGTTGAGTTTGATTCTGATTCTAGAGTGAATTTGGTTGAAAGGTGGGCATTGTTAAATATAAGAAGCAGGTCTGCAAGATTCATATTTTCATCACAAACTATAAACGTATCATCCACGTATCTTTGGTAGACATGGAATTCATTTATTGTTGATGATAATTTGGTGTTTTCCAGGCTTGCCATGAAGCAGTCAGCTAGGGGGGTCCTAGTGGAGACCCCATCGCCACACCATCTATCTGCCTGTAGATCTCATTAATAAATCTGAAGTGTGTATTGAAGGTACATCGAAGGAGAAGCTCTTTTAGATAGTCAATTGGGATACCGACGTTGAATGAATTCGCATAGGAAGCAGATGGTTTTTGTCAGTGGGACATTTGTAAAAAGGGACACGACATCCAATGAAATCAGTCTTTTACCTGCCAAATTGACACTCTTTATTGAGTCAACAAGATCAAATGTGTCACGGAGACTGCAGTTCAAAAGCCTCTTCTTTACAGGTTCCATCACTTCCACCAGCCATTTCGCGATTGAATGATATGGAGAATTTATCATATCTAGTATTGGACGGAGTGGGACGCCTTCTTTGTGTATTTTAGGGAGACCGTATAAATGGGAGATCGTAGAATCAGATGGGCGAAGTTGTTCATATAGTTCTTTGCTAATGAATGATTCATCTCTCATTTTCTTCAATGTTTTCGACAACTGCAGCTCCGTTTGCTCAGTAGGATCTTTCTGTGTTGTCTGTTTTAAGAATTTATTTTCATCTGATAGAATGAGTGAGAGTTTTTCCAAATAGTCTTATTTGTTTAGTAGTACTATTCCAGAGCCTTTGTCCGGGTGTATCATGACGAGATTTTCATTTTTCTTTAGTTCAGTGAATTTATTTGGATGTTCTTTTGATAAGAGATGTCGGTAGCTGGGTTTTCTGTTTATATAGTCCAGATAGCAATTTAAAACTGTTGATTTGAAATGTTTAGCATCATCGTATGAAACTGGAACTAGATCCTTGGTTTGACTAATAAGATTTTCGAACTGGACTTTCGCATGGAGCTCGTCGACTTTTGAAGTTGTATCGCAGAATTTAGGTCCAAGTGACAAGATTTGCATTTGAATTGGCGACAGTGATATATTAGAAAAGTTGAATACACATTTTTCAGGACACGATGGGAAGGCTGTTTCTTTAGTGATAAACTTCAAGCTTTTGCATAGCTTCGGGTTGACGTCATTCGTTCGCTTCTTAGTAGTAGTAGCAACGTAGTTCTCAAACTCTCTTCTTTCACTGGCGGATAATTCGAAAAGAGCGTGTGATTTTTGTAACATTATGTTCAAGCTCTGGTAGTCAGGAACGGAAAGCATCGATGTGATTGAGAGTGTATCGCTTCAAGGTACGTGAGTTGGGAGAAATGTGGTTCCGTCTGAGATTCACGTTCATCTGCGATCAGGTTCACGTTTATATTCTTTTCCCTTTCTTGCATGTTTACAGTGAGGTGGAAGGTGTCCTGCTGTATCACTTAACTGTCAAATATTATTCGAAAGTGAATCATAGTATTTGGAGGTTTATGGGATTCTGTTCTTTTGTTGCGTTGTCTTAAATCAGTATGGTAAACCAATCCTAATAACTAACGAAGGTACAGGAAGGTTATATAGGGTATCCGTAAAAGAATAGCACACATCCTGTCTATCAATTAGCGTGATGTTGTATATTATGATTAATACAGTTAGTTTTCTGGTTAATAGTGAATTCATATTCTCTACAAACTGTGATTTTCGTTTCGCTGCTGAATATTTTGTAATGTAATAGTGCAGTTTTCGTCCATTCGTCACCTCTAAATACTGCTAAAAAGTCCCATACGTATGAACACTGATATATCCTTTTCTTTTTCGGTACGTGTACGTAATGCTTAAAATTGAAACCGACGTTTACAAAATGAAAGAAATATATTTCATAGATTCGAACTAAATACGAAAAGCTTCTAGAAAACTGTAAATACTTAACAAGTGCCCTAAAATTTGGACTCTAGAAAATGCACAATTTGGTAGCTATTCTAAGGACACTGTATCTCTCAGAATATAAAGTACTAATATCCCATAACTTCATTAGTTGTTACTTTGTGACTTTATTGATGATTTTCTCAGCATGTATTTCTCATTAATTGCTTATTGTAATCATAGTTTTATAGTGTGAATATCGGTTAACATACTGATTGATTGATTATAACAACAACGTCTGCAACCATAGTCCAACGACAAGAGGAAACGAAGAGAGCAACATAACCATTATGAACAGAAACAATAGATATCTCTGTCGAGTAAAGTTTACCAAGGAATCCCATCCTCTCCATTCTTCCTTTTTTTAATCAGATATTTAGCTCTACGGATTAAATATTTTCTCTACGACGTTCCAACTATCTATCTTCTTGTCAGACCTGGAGTAGGTAGATGAAAGAGCTGTTTAGGTTGAAAAGTCAAAGGAAATTCGCCTCTTCAAAGACTGTAAGGAACAGTGTTAGGATGTCAGTCTAAGCAGTCTAGTGAAGAGTAGATTTCTTGTTTATGATCCCTTAAGCAATGAGAATCTATATTTTGAAGTCAGCTTACTCGGCTGGAAGTCGACTGCTGTTGTGATGCAGTTGCTTTATCCAACGTTTGTTCTCTTTTTTCTCGTAATTATTGGTGTTATTGTTGTTATATCCCTTTTCCAATTCCGCCTGGTTGCAGTAGTGTGAATCGAACTGATATGCAAATTTAACAGGTCAACCATACATTTCTCTCCGTGCAATAAATATCATTCATTTCAGCTAATTTCGGATGCTAAATTTCTGTACTGTTGTGGTGGACTGATTTATGCTTAGCACATGTATAGTCATTCACAGTGATTATCATATAGAAGCAGATCAACTAATTTAGGTAATATAATTCATAGACAAGGATGTACGGCTAGGATCCTAATGAATTTCATTTGCATGTAGTAAAACAGACTTTTACAAAAAAGCATTCTGTTTATAAGCCTTCTATTATATTCTACTGAAAACCGTACATTTTCAAGGAATATTGTTTTTGTATATGTTTTAAGCACACTAGTCTGTTAATTATTTACGCTGTACAAGTAAGAGAGTTCAACTTTTGTTATTTACAACAAAGAAGCGGAAAATATCTCTTATTTTTATCAGGGCGTATGTTTAATTCACCATGGAGTTAGTTGACCAAGAATAAAAGAAAAACTCTGCGTCAAAGCTTAGAAAATAGGTCAAGCAAAGGATGCGGATTAAAATCAATAATTGCTTCGTGATAATAATATTATGATGAATTTTTGAAAAAAGGTATCACTATATAAATTCAACTGGTAGCGGAAGTGGTCATTGGCTGGTTTCTATCAATAGAAAATAAATCACCATGGTCAAGATATGATTTTGGATTAATTTATGATTAAGAAGCGATGATTAGTTTACCGTTAACATTTACTTTTATGCATTTTCTCACTAACTAAGTTGCAGAGTATATACAACTACGATTCCATTACTGTTGGATTGTATTTCAAATTATTTTAATTTTCGGTACCAGGTGGTTGAAATACTGAAATTATCATATGAAAAAAATAATTCAGATCTTTTATCACAGGGTTATTTAGATCAGCTACCTTAAAATATTTAACTCTAGTGTATGCCCCTAGTTAAATATAGCTGCTAAGTTCGTGAATTTTCTCCCTTTCTTGGCACAACATACCTAGCTGTTTACCAGTCTTTTAATTCTTAAAAATGATCTAGTAGTTAGCATATCAAACTGTTGTGAGAAAGATTTTACCTGAAGGTTTATGGAGGAATTGTACCTCAGGGTGATGATAAAAAAGAAAACTTGACATTCTGTGTTTCACATTCGAGGTGAGACATTTTTGATCTAAATTGTTTAGCTTGGCTCTAATTTTTATCATGAAGTTAGAACGTTAACAGTCACTAAATTATCGTTTTTTTTGTACCTTTACTGTATTTGTCTTTCATTTTCGCTTATACTGTATATTTCCTGTAACTTATTTATTTATAGGCTGAAATACATCTGGTTGACATGGATAACACTTTGGTGGGAAGAAATTCGTTTTCGAACGCTACTAGTAATAATGATAGCAGGAAAACAGTCTATCTGAATCAATTAATTCTATCCTACTGTCATCCAGATACAACTGCAGTATTCCTCTACTTACCGAAACCAAATTCAGACTTATCTTTGGCTGATGACTATTTGAATCAGTTGAATATTTTAACTGATGCTTTACCACCAACCCTGTTGGCACATGGTCTGCACGATGTGACATCAGCTGAACTGTAATGCAAAATAAACTCCTATTCTTCACTTCTTTTTGATCTCAATTGGTAATGGTGATCAGATTATTTGTCGATCAATTTTTTTTCTAATGTAACTGACTTGCCTATTCTTACAGTGATTTCAGTACATTTGTTTCCTTTTCTGTCTTATCCTTCCCAGTCTTACTGCTTTTTCAGTATGGTCAATCAAAATAAGCAGATATTTTTGTCAGTTTTTCGTGTCAATAATAGTTTTTTTTGGGTTTCATGATTAAAATAAAATCGGCATTCAGTGATTATACGGCTATTAAGAATAGATATTAGAATAATTATATTCCGACTAATCAGTCATCCAGTTTCTAGTTGGAGACAATTTTATGGATAATGATGAAGATAAATATTCTAAGGGGATAGATCTTTGTGAGGTGAACAATATATAAAAATTAATCCATCTTCTAAAGTTTATTTCTCTCCTTGTAATTACTCTTCTATTGCTTCTACTGTCTTGCTAAATAACCTGTGACTTTGATTATCAAAAATGTTAACAGGCAAAAGAAGGTGATCATTTTAAAGTTAACTCCTCTAACTGACAATGCATGCTCAGCTGTCAGTGAATGTGTTTCACTGTAAATGCGATTCATTTTTCATTTCGCTTGAAATAACACACATACGGAGTATAAATGTGAAAGTTTCATACCTTTCAAGCATACATCATAGCTATTTGGCACTTATTGTTTTATGTGTGTGTGTGTGTGTCTTCGTTTGTCGCTCTTCTTCGTTTTTGATTGATTTCACCTTAGCAAAAGTTGAAAAACAAAACGAATAAGCCATTATAAGCATGAAATCAGTTCATAACATTGTTGACTGAAAATTTATGTTTTCGCTTAACCGTTACTACTTACTTACTCACTTACCTACGTTACTCCTTTTAACCGTTTCCAAGATAGAGAGAGTTCATTCATTTTTTATTCTTTATTTTAATCTTCTCTATTCACAATGTCAACAAATTTAACTTTACAACTAAAATGAATGAATAATTACAATATTACTTACATATTTACGTGAAATATTGTTGTGCTGTTGGTTATAACTAATCTGTACATCTATCTATAGAAAATATCATCACTGATTATATTTATTTTATTTATTTATAAATAATGATTGCTAATGTTAGTAACTACTTTTCATATTTGACTAATAAAGATGATTATTTATTAAATGCCAACAATGATAACTTATTCTTCTTGTGTCGTTTTTTGTAAAACATTCTTATATCACTATTAGGTTAACAAAAATTTCAGTTTTTTTAAAGGATTGTTTTGAAACCATATCATCTAACCTGTCAGTATGTTCTAGCTATGAAATATGCTTAAGTATGATTTTCTTCTTATTAGTATTTTGTCTGCACTGAGTTCTTCTTCGGGCAGTTCAATAATCTGTGGAGGTGAACATTGTGCTATATCTCACTATTTTCATACTTCGCTTTGTATATTCATGTATGGACTTCTTCGGATTACCATTATTTATTAACTGTAGTTAATTCCTCTTCAAGTTTTTCCTATTGCGGTTAAATAGCGTTCTAAATAACTTCTTTAGCAGTCTATAGGGCAGAAGTTATTGAATTGCAGATAGAGTACATATTACAGCTTACGAATGTAACCTTGGATAGCAGCATTGCTGTCAAAATGAATGCCGAGACTTAAAATTTATTATTATGGTCCATATCCGTTGCATACCTCATACTAGAAGAGTTACTGGATGATATACATAATTCAGGCCACTGTAAACAACAAATTTATCAATATGTCGGGCACATCATTATGGTTATTTTACCGACTTCCAGTTTCACCAGAATTTCCATGGGTATTCCGGAACAGATGAAGATGAAACTGGTAATCAACTAGGTAACATTTCATGCCAATCATATTGTTGATTATCATTTGAAAACATAAGTTGTGTGTGCGTTATAACCTATGTTTGAATACACATAAATAGATAAAATCAGTTATTTTGATATGTACTGTGTTAAAATAATTGACCTCAAATCACCTTATTACAAATCATGGTATATATATATATATATATATATATATATATATATATATATATATATATATATATATATATATATATATATATATATCATCCCTTCTGTGTATCTGAATTATAAGCATGAATTTGTTCTCAACTGATAGTTATAATAATAATGGACAAACTTTTTTATGCATTCAAAGAGTGGGTTTCATTGTTTAAAAATTGAACAACCATTCAGCACACTGCTACCATGTCCTACTGATAACTCCAGTAAATTATTGACGATTATACTTTTCACACCGGTGGCCGAAATAACCTCTGTGTTGAAACTGAAGTGATGTGTACTCAGACTATTGTTGATCACTTCAGTTATGGATTCGATTGATTCAGCAAAAACTAATGTGTTTGAAAAATCTGGTTTACCCTAAACTAATACTGCTAATACAAATCTTGCTAAGAATGATATTTCTAGTTTTTTAAAATAGGATTTCAAATTGCTTACAGTAATCTACCATTCAGTGACTTAACCACGAGCAGTTGTAAATTACTTACAGGAAAAGTTGTGCCAACTAGGTAGATTGGAGTAATACAAACATCAAGTATTTGTTTTACTCACTTTCGACAATGTGTTCTATTTAAAAGGATCCATCTTCTATAGGCAAATTTCACCAACCACTCTAATTCTAATCAGCAATGTAAGCAGGTTGGTATTGCTTATAATTAAATCAAACTTATGTGAGGTGCCTATTTCAGGTTGACAATAAAGAAGTTGTATACATATTAACTGTGATATCCCAGAATTGTTTCCTCATAAAAGCATAATATTCAAACTGAGAAGTGAGCTATCCTTACCGCCAAGAATGTGAATCATATAAGTACAGGATACCGATCATGTCACAAAACAGCTCTTACTAGCTGCACAGCACTTTTATTCGCCATCAAACTTTATTTCTTGCAAGTTAATGGTTTGTTGTAATCTATTTTTAAAAAAACATTGACAGATGAGACTGCAGTCAATCTATTTGAAACTCTATCTGAACGTTGGGTCCTAATGCGTCTTGCTTCCTTCTTTTTTACTGCATATTTCAGGTTAGATTAAATCTGTCCACCTTCGGGGAAATTTTATCCTTCGGTATTTTCAAATTGTACAAACAGGAAAATAGAACTCGACTCTAAAAGTTATAAATGTAACTTACCTTGAAATATGTTGATTTTAAAATCCAGTAATTGAATGGATGCAATAGCAAATGTATTCAGTGACCCTCTCTGGAAAATATCACTTTCTAGAGCTTTTTTGAGACATTTCAAATTGTACTTTTACTTTAGCAAGCAACTATCACCTTGTTGTAGACTTTTCTGCCTGAAAAATATTTGAACCTTTTTGTAAGGGTTTAAGAAACCTCCCGCTTCTTTTAAATTGGGGGACTTGCGTTTACAAAATATTTTCTTCCAACTTCACGCCTTTTCAACAATTTAGCGTAAATTATATTCGGAGGTTTTTGGAACTGTAGTGCACACTTCTGAGGAGTCCCATACTAGGACGAAACAGCTGTTCATTGCTTCCAGGTTTCCAATGTTCCTCCAACTGATGTCAGTCTACGATGAATAACAACCTAAAATTCGGCGTAAAATTTTGAGTTGTAGATTTTTCATTTCCCGTACCCTTATTAGGTTTTCCTCAGTTTCAGTAGTTTTTCACCTAATTAGCCATTTATAAAATTAACTTTCTATGGAATTAGAATGAAATTTGGCTACAAAAATATCATGTTTTACGAACATTTCTTCACTTCACAAGTTATGTTCTGCTGTAGGAATACTTTGTTGTATGACAGTTCCCGGTACAATATTCCGTTAACATATCCAATCCATATTCACCTATGGAAATTATGCATCCAGTACTTCACAGCTTCTGAATTCTCAAGTATTTTATATAATAGGTAGGTACACATCAAACAAGACTGTAAATCATCCTTAAGAATTATTTACGATAGTAAGCGGTAACTTATTGTAAATATATAATGACAGTTGTGATATCTATTATCCGACAAGTCAGCAGCTTATTTATGTCTCATCAATGTTAAATCAGCAAAGTTATTGTCAAGAATATATATACATTGTCTGGACTCGTTGTGTGAAGATGTTAGGTTTTGCAAGGTCACATACACGAGCGAAACACAACCTCTTTCAATTATATTCAATGCTAATCACTAGGTTCTAAGAGAACATGCTTACATTGAAGAAATCTAAATCAATTATTCCTTCGAACGGTCTATACAATCTCAGATAAATACAGTATGGCCAACAGTCACAAATTAAGTGCAAGAAAACCACTAATACTAGATTATCCCATTGTTCACGTGTTCTGAAACAAAACAATCTCAGTTAGTATGAACTAACTGCAACTTCAGCTATTAGAGTGACTGTAACCATGATCTAGTGTCTTTCCAACCCCAACTAACCTTAATTGTTTTTATTTCTTCCTGCTGATATTTTTGCAGTAACTCAAACTTCTTTCAGTTCAACCACTCGTTCTGACGGTTTGAGCCTACGAAACAGCATCCAGTGTATCTAAATCCTTATTCCATAGAAAATAATGAATAATAAAATGCTCACACTTAAGGTAAAATCAAACAACAGATGTCACTGTTCATGACTATGTGATGTAGGGTTATGTTCCCGACCGTTAGCTGCTTCTTTGATATGGTCGTCGAGTTTGCATGCCACAGCGACCCTGCTGGCTAATCAGGTGGAACGCTTGTTCCCTTTGGTACCTACGTACCAGAAACATCAGTTGGATAATGTAAATGAAGAAAGCGGTTACCTTTGTACGGCGAACTGATACACTTTAAAGGGAGTGGTACTGCTGGCTGGATGGGATGTGACAACTGTAAGGTGTTTCCCTTGAGTGAACAGCAGTAACATCCTAAAGCTGCCTTTCCAATAGGAAGAGAAGCGTTAGGTAAGGCTGAAGTTTATGAGACATGCACAGAG